AAAATAGCATTGGAATCTTGAAGAATCTTGCAATCAAATCCCATAACTAAATTGATGATTTCTTTTAAAAGCTTATCAACTATGAGCACTGAAAGATATCGTTGTAGAAAATCAGTGGTATACATGACAATAGCGGAAGTGACTTTTCAGAAAAGTAGAAAAAAATTATGTTATAGGAAAATAGCAAAGAAAATGTGCTGAATTACTGTACATTACAGAATCTCTAGAAAAGGAACAGACTTGAATGAGTGATTTATTTATTTTACGGCTTATCAACCCTTTACCTATTATTTAAAGCTAGAAAATATTTTTAGATTTAGAATTTTGGACAGATAATAATGATTTAATGATACAATTCATATCGTCACCACGACATACTGCTACGATTAGCAAGTGTGTCTCGATAGAACAATTACAAGTGAGTGAGTAATGAGATCCTCACTGGGTATTCCATATTTTCAGCCTTGCACCACATCAACTAGTCTTAGGAAATTACCATATCTGGGTGTGTGGGGTTAAAGAAGTGGATTCATCTTTTCCAAAGATATTTGCGCGTAAATGAATATCACACAAACCCGACTGCAATTGGAACTGGGCTGTCGGATTTCCAATGTCGAACTTTTCTCCATTACACCACCCGCACACCCAAACTTGCAGAACCTGGTATTTCCAAGTGGTCACCCATCTAAATGATCGTGCGAGAAACGATGTTATCATTCAAATAAATCTAATTATATTATGGAAATTATTTTATAAATTTCCATTTCAGAAATAGAACTTGGATAATGTGCCTGAATTTTGGGGATCATTATTTTAGACTAATTTATTCAGATCTGTCTCTTCATCTTGATTTCACATTCTCACGACGTTTTGACTAGTGTCCCTTTTGGCGTTTTTTTTTTTTTTTTTTTTAGAGATTACCAACTACAGCACAAACCTGAAGAAGTCGATAACATATAACACCCGAAACGTTGTGATTGTAACAACTAAGATGGAGATACTAGTCTTAGTAAATCAGTATATAAAACTGTTTACTGCTATCTATCTATCTATCTATCTATCTATCTATCTATCTATCTATCTATCTATATATAACGCGACGATTACAGCCGTGGAAAGTGGAATCTGCTAGTAAAGTTTCAGTTTCGGCCGAGTTTGCTGCATTTACTTTCGCAAATACCTTTGAAAATATATGAATCTGTCTCTAATTCTCCAGCTATGGGTTAAATAGCAGAGCAGAGTGGTCTCCCTAGTCCTGGTTAGCAATCAGCCTAGATGCAAAACTTTGATTTCAAAAGCGGTTGAGTGTAGGGATACTCATACTTTGGGCTGTCCTTTGGAATGACGATCATGCATTCCATCTTTTATTTGACCGGCATAAACACTGCATTCAATTTGTAACAGACACTCAAAGAGGCCGGATGCACCAGTGCTTTGGACTGTGTTCCTTCCCGCTCGCGAAATGGGCAAGCATATAACATCAAACCTAGATCCAGTTTCCAAATGTGGGAAGGATTTGTTACATATACCGTTATATAAACTAACAAAGCGGAGAGAATTGGGAGGAATCTCTTTCAAACATCCCAGGAGAATGGAACGTTCGCGTATTAGACTGGTTGGTGACAGGACCGCTGCACGCACATGTCCCTGTCTTCACTATGTTCTGGTAGTACCAAATTCTTCAAACTCGCTTTCATTATGTGTCTTAGAAATTACTCTGTCTTTAATTCCAAACAACAACAACAATGATATTAATGGCGTAAGGCGACATCACGTTGAAACACTGGTTTCCTTACGATCACGTAAGTTAACCAACGACGAGCCCGGTGAGTATCTAGATGAGTGATTGCTTAGCAATAACATGCTGTAACTTTGAATGTCTGGGTGGTGTAATGGATAATGGCTCGAATTGTTAATCGGAGAGACGAGTTCCAATTCCAGTTGGGTTTGTTATATTCACTTACGGGCAAATACTCTTTGAAAAGGTATGAGTCCACTTCTTCCCCCTCAAGTTATGGGTTAAATAGTAATACTTTTATCACTAAATCATTATTATCTCTCAAACAATTCTTAAAATCTAAATATTTTCGGGCTTTAAATAACATGTAGAGAGTTGATAATCCGTAGAAAATGAATCAATCAAATAATAATAGTAATAATAATAATAAAATATAAGTATTATATGAATTCTAATATAAGTGTAATGTCCGTTTTCTTTTTCTTAACACTTCATCGTTAGCCACATATTCAGGCCATAGAATTCCCAGCATTCTTCTGTGAAATCTCATTTATGTTCTCTCAAGTCTCTTCGTAATCCGTGAGGAAATTGTTCAGCATTCACTACCAGGATGCAGGACGACTCATCACCGCCAACTCAACACTGACGATTTAATAGCAGTCAACTCGTCTCTATGACAACTCAAAGCCAGGACAAGTTACCGCCAGCTTACTCAGGGCGAAGACAACTCAATGACATGAGATTTTTTCGTCGAAATTTTAACAAAAAATAAAAGCAATTTATTAATTCTATTTTATTAATACATGACTTTATTTTTAATTTAAAAGTTTATAGAAAATTTTATGTAATTCTCCTGAAATATTTATTTGGAGATCGTTGTGAAAAAGAAGATAATTTGCAAAATCTTTTGATCTGCTTTTATACACTTCATCAGTTTTGAGCGGAGTGGGATGACATCCAATTAATCGCACGAAAAAAAGTATCTTGGATTCTTTGCATCTTTTGCAGCCCCGTAATGAATCTCCATATTGTGGGAAGTCTTCTATTTACTTCAGCCTTGTTACTTGTTCGATCTTGAAAATTAAATACCAGTCAGCCAAATAGGTTGTTCTAATTAATAAATCACTAAGATAAACGGAGAGACTTTCAAAATCTCTACGACCCAAAGCCGATCTAAGTGATGTGCACACTATGACAGCCAACACCAGTCTGAAGCTAGAAATTCGGTGCCAGCGCTGAGTTGTTCTCGTGCTGAGTAGGTTGGTAGTAAGTGGTCCTGGAGTTGAGTTATTACGGAAATGAATCAGACGGTGTTGAGTCGGCGATATTCAACCGGCAGTGATGAAATGTCCCGACCCGTCACTACCATCGAAGAGGATGATATTACATAACATTTCAGCTTTTTTTTGGTTCTAACGACGTTTTCCTGTTTCGTATTATTTTGCTTAGATTTTGGAAGACATCTTTCGCTATTCCCATTTCCCTTCAGATTTCAGTGTTTCATTAAGCTTTCAATTTCGACATGAGCAGAGACTCGTTCTAGCGTTCACATCTAGTAAGATAAGTGTGTTTATTGCGCCGCTAATTAGTCTGCACAAGCTTAATACATCTAATATCTAGAGCTAGTGAACGTAAATACACAACTTAACCTCATCAAGAGGATGGCAAGGAAGAAACGATGTAAGGAAATGGGCCATGGTTATTTAAGCATTTCATAGAATATCCCAAAGGATATTACTAAGAATTTACTAATAGAAAACAGCGTTGATGTTTTCCCTCCAGAAGCCAATGTACGGTTGGACATATGCTGATGACGTAGGTATTCATAGTTGGATGAAGAATGAGATTGAACGTAAGAAAGATCAAAATTATCGACGAAGAATTGGAAAAAGTAAGACTCAAACGTTTCCAAAAGAAGAAACTATAATCTGGAATTGTAATGACAATAGTAATGGCACTTACCTGAATCCATTGTAAAAGAATAAATGTGGAATTTATAAATTCTAAGCTCTTCAAACAGTTCGGTGTATGGATCAGTTATAAGAAAGTCTAAGAGATAAGGAGTTTGAACAGAGAATATGGGGCGCTAGGTGTAGTTTTGTCCAACACCGCAAAATGCAACAAAACGATAACATTAACCTAAGAACTCGAATCGTGTTCTTCACTAGTCTCGTCAAATCTCATTTGATCTCATCCATGTTGTTCAACTCATACAGAAATGTCTAATCTATCATCTATATAGAATAGTTTCCTCTGTTTAATGATTCAAATAGCTTCAAGTGAGTGATCCGTGTGGGACTTGAAGAGCCTCTGTCTTTTGTCAGTTTTCTGGCGATACAGCATCACAAACAAATAACTTTACCAAATAACAAAAATACACATTAATTGAAGACATTCAACTATTGAAATGTCTAGCACAAGTAAATAGAAGGGAAAATAATGACATAACTAAAGATGGTTGAAACTTAAAAGCTTAGTAATGAAACTGGAACTAATAGCAGAAGAAATGGTAAGAGTGCGCTTGAGAAACATATTCTCCTGAAAAACTCTTTTGAGAGAAAGATTTTAGAAATTTCAAATTACAGTAATGCTCACCATTCGGTCAGTGAATATTGAATGTTTCCTTATAAGGGAACGGCTAATCCCACTATTACACTTAACATTGACAACGAAACCATTTGTTCATACAAGGCTTTATTCAATTTTTATGAGGTTTACATCAAGAAGAAAAGTAGAGGGGTGAGGAGGATGGGAAGCAGAAGAAGAAGAAGAAGAAGAAGAAAGAGGAGGATAATGAAAAGAAAAATAAGGGGAGGAAGAAGAAGAAGGAGGAGGAGAAAAAGAAAGAGAAGAAGAAGGAGGAGGAGAAGGAGGAGGAGGAGAATGAGAAGAAGAAGAAGGAGAAGAAGAAAGAGGAGGAGAATGAGAAGAAGAATATGAAGAAGGAGGAGGAGAATGAGAGGAAGAAGGAGGAGAAGAAGAACGATGAGGAGGAGGAGGAGGAGAAGAAGAAGAAGAAGAAGAAGAAGAAGAATTAGGCCGAAATTTGATATAACATTTTTCCTCCATTAAATATATATTAGAATATTATTTTTACAAATAATAATGAAGTGATACAATTCTTACTAATTAATCCATATCTTTGAGGGGAATAGACGGCATTTGCGAGTGAGTGAGTATAACGAACCCAACTGTAATTGGAACACGACACTCCGATTAACATTTCCGAGCCAATATCCATTATACATCACCCGCAGATCCAAGCACCTGATATTTCCAAGCGGTTACCCATCTAGGTACTGACCAGGCTCGATGTTACTTATCTTCAGTGTTCGTATGGGGGCCAGTATTTCAACGTGATGTGGCCGTAAACCTCAGAAGATTAGCGGCACAGTTTTCATTCAAAGAGATTCATGAAGAATCTGCTATTTTTTTTAGAGATAACGATAATCAATGATTACATCTCTCGAGGAAGGCAAAAGGGAAGAGATTATCCCCTCCTTCTTAGAGATTAAGGAATTAAGCGTCCATTTTCAAATATCAAATGACAAAGCCTTGACTTTGACATGGAAGGCGTGTGACTGATGTTTCTCGCTTTTTAAATGTAAATATTTTTTTAAAATATGAAAATAATTCAATAATTACAATTCCGTTAACTTTGTGCACACCTGGCTACCTTTCAAGGCGTATTAGTGCACTCGAATGCACCGGCTGAGAAACATTGGTGTATTGTGTCAGCACTCGACATCTTCGTCATCTTCCATGTTGTTGGCCACAGAGACATTTCATCTTTCACACTCAAAAAAAAAAAAAAAATTGAAAGTCGTATTAATGTCGACTTCTGTTTTACGTCGCGAAAGTAAACAGGAATGTGTGATTATTTAAAATTTTGCTTTTCCTAGTGTAAGTTTATTTTCGTTGCAAGTTTGCTGCATTTTAGTGTGAAAATGTTCGTACGTTTTTTTTAAATATTGTTTAAATTTTCTGTTTAAAAACATAGAGGGAACTTTTTCTTAGTTTTAGCTGATATGAAAGATAAAAAGCTGAACAAATGTTAAATTTAGATTAAACTTAGGTGCTAGAAATTCTAAATATTACATCATATTTGTTTTAGTCGAATTCACTTGAAGCAAGGCAGTAAAGCCACTAAGACACAAAGGGCTACTGGGGATGGAAGAAGTAGAAAACAGAAACGTTATTAAGGAGCGAGAACAATAGACGAGTGATCAGAATGTCAGTACCTAACGATTGCATTTAATTTTTTGAAATCTTCGGAAAACATGGAACTGGAAGTGTGTTCCAAAAACGAGAAATGCGAGAAAATTCACTGTTAGCATAAAATTTACTATTACATCTCGCCAGTTCAACTGTTAATAAATGGGACCACGCTGCCAATCAAGTAATGCGTTTAATGCTCATCCGAATAATTTCTATGAAAGTATTTATAGAAAAAGCACATGGCAGCGACTTTACAGTGTTGGGAAAGTGATTGAAGCCGAGACGCCAGGACAGGACCAGTAATATTGCTGATTCTTTTTTGAATTTTATCAAGAATCTTTAAATATATAGCATGTGCATTGGACCATATATGGCAGCAATATTCGAAGTATGGACGAATGGTAGACTTATAGATATGTAAGATAGATTCTGGAGAGAAACATTGTCTAGCACAACACCCTGAACTAAATTTCTTAGTAGTAGATACAGCAATGAATTCGATATAGTCTTTCCACTTCATGTCAGCCAAGAATATTAGCCGTAGAAGTCGCAACGAGTTGTTCTCCTGGAGGTTAGCATCAATCATACTAATAGAAGGTCTCTCAGATGATGTGCATTTTTCGTTTTCGAGCTGTTTAAAATTAAAAAGGCATTCTTTGCCCCAGTTAACAACAGACTCTAGGTCATTTTTGAGATCAGCAACCAATGGAGGTTAGTTTTAAGGATTTCGCAGCCCAAACTTAGGGGAGCTTATACACGACTACATATTATAGACAAATACTTACGGTATTGAAGTTATTTATGAAAGCGTAAGTTTGTAAAATGATTAATGGGTAGATTTTTTTTTATTTATGTAACGCCTTCAGCTACTAGAGCGCATCATAGAAGAAGAGAAGAAGATAGAGCTGACTTGAATCTGAAGCTCTCCGTAGCTGAGCGGTCAAAGCACGCTGACTCCGACGGTTGTTACTCCTGCGAAAAGAAACGCAGGTTCAAATCCTAGCTGGAGGGAGGGGGGTCATTTCTTTGTTAAGTTTTCTTACAGGCCGGTAGACGAAAAAAACACTGTTTTAAATAATAGAGCGTTTACTCAAATAAGTTGATCCACAAAAACAAAAAAAAAAACAAAAAAAAAACAAAACAAAAAAAAACAAACAAAACAAAACATTTGAATTAAAAAGTATGTCGGATTAAATATAAAATCGATGAATTCTTTGGAAATTGCTTTGTTTGCGTTTCGAATACGAAGCTGAGCAGATATGGTTCGAGAGAAAATCTGAACGAGTGAATGTTTTAAGGCAAATAAGTCTTCGTTTGACCGTGAAGCATTCTGTAGTTGAACGATCAAATCCCACCGAACAGGACGATTGTTCCTCTTGCAAAGGGAGGGGGCGCAGATTTTTTAAAATCCTGTTTAAAATAGAAGGAGCATCTAATCAAATACACCGGTTCACTAAAAACCACTTTTGAAGTCAGAAAAATATTTTGGACTAAAAAAAAATAATTTACCAAATAAAATTACGATATATAAAATGAGCTTAAAAATTTTAAAATATTCCCTTAAATTTAATCAAATTTTAAAAATATAAACATCATTTTTATCGGATAACAATATAAAAATGTAAGGCATATCCCAAATTTTCTACAATTGCTTTTATCACGTCGCGATGGTTTTACAATATGGAAGCCCTATCAAGTATATAAATAAAAACAGGAACAAATTGAAAAAGTCAAGAATATTCATGGAATATTATTTGAAACAATGAAAAACAATTCACATTCACCATAGAACAAATTAATGAACTCGGAGAATAATTTTTCTACTTTTTGCTTACAAAATGGAAAATTACTTTTTTTGATAATTTAGAGCAATAGGAGTAAATTATGTGTTTCTTTTTACTTTAGCATTAAGAAACTTTTTCCGATCAAATATATTAAGGAAGTTAAAAGCGTCACAATTACTGTTTTTTATTGCCATATTTAATATTTATTTGTTAACTGGTGGTTACATTGTTCGACTACGCAATGAATTTTTTCATTCAGGAACATCCATAAATTACCTGTCAAATGCAATATACCTGAATTAACGTATGTTTTTGACTTTTAAAATCAACTATGTTGAGAAGCAAAGGCACCTGCTGAACATAAATATATTCCTTCATATACAGTAAAAGATGAGTAATATTTTTTTTTTAAAAATCAAATAAATTATTCGTTTAATTATTCAATTTGCTTCGGATCTTTCCTGTAGGCAGTTTATTTCTGGCATATTTTACATTAACTTTACATTTGAAATATTCTCATTATATCGTGATTGGGTAAAATTAGGATGCAAAATGAGCAAAGGTAATTTTACGATTAAATTTATGGTATATTCTTCTAGTTAAAGTGGAAAATTAAAACTTCCAATAATATATTTAAATTATTGCTATCCATTTTAAAATTTTAATAAATAAATAATCAATAGATTTTAATGAATAAATCTTTGGTAAGTTTTAGAAATGAAGCTGTGAGGTTGACTCATAATTAATTTTCGTTTTCCTTTATCAACTTTATCCTTCAAAAAGAATTTACAATTACATTTTATTCAATTAACGTAATTCCCCACATTTGTTCTAAAAAAAAATAATAAGCAAAATTAGGGGTGCGTATTATGCACAGCTACAAAAAATCTTTAAAAATTGCCGTTTCATAGGTTGATTTCAGTTGCGAAATAACTACTCACCACAAACATACGACATTCGGTGATTGCGACCCCATAAGAATGTCAAATACAATCACATGTACCTAAAAATACTTACAAATGTAAAATAAAATAAGAATTTTTATAAAACTAAATTAGAAGAATATTATTCTATGTTTAAAACCATTTTTAATAAGAGTAGGAAACGCTGGCCGTAATGAAATTGCAGAGGTGCAAGTTGTAGGTTTTTGGTTATCAAACAAGGGGTGCTTAGTAGAAGGATTTTCCCACACTTTCAGCACAATTTTAAGGGAGCGTGTTATGGATGAAGGCGTATTATAGATGGTGAATTATGATATATATTCAAAATTATTTGCAAAGACATGTAGCCACCTATCAAACAGCTCTTTGATACACTTTGAGTAAAATTCCACAAATTCCGATGTAAAAAAGTGTTCGGCAAACATTTGAATCTGGTTTTCATTAGAGAAAGTTGTCCCTATCAAAACTTACTATAGCAATCGAAAAATTCATAATCGGTTGGTGCAAGGACAAGTTCCAAAAACATTTTCCTGTGTTCTTCTTGCTGGGTGTGGCCTCGTGTTGTCGTGGAATTCAACAACATATTCCTGTTGACGAACGGAGCGCGCTTTTATGGACAGATTGCAGCTGATGTATATATAAAAGTGTATTCAATGTTTAATGCATTTTCAGAACTCTAAGTAAATAATATCACGAGCATCCCTCCATACTCACAATATTACCTTTCTTCCATGTAGCTCTGCTTTTGATATCGGTTGTGGAAATTTGGCCTCACCTTTTGCTTATGTGAATGTAATTTAGATTTAATCTTAACTACTACGTAGGATTGGTAGATAATATGATAAATTCGTCATCACGAGTGGCTCCCAAAACGGGAATTAATTATGACAGGCTATTAGGATCGCCGTCGTCGTTGGCGGAACTTGTTGGCGAGTATTGTTCATTGGCATTTCCTTCTGTACGAAATGAGTCCTATACTGGATCTGAAGATGCTAAGGCAGATAGTTTCAGGCGATGGAGAGCTTTTGGCTTTTCTTTTCGCTCTCTTCGTCTCTTCTATCTTCCGTCTGTTGTTTTGTTGTGGATTGTTCTTCTTCAACTACTTTTTTCTGCAGTTTCGGTCTCCCAGCAGACCTGACCGATATCTAGCAAGTTTTTTAGCTGATACTTGAATCGACGACGAGTGGTTCCACGTGTTCTCTTGCCAGAAACGAGCTCCGAGAAGAGCATTTGTTTGCGTCGTCGGATGTCTGCTATTCCGAAAATGAGTCATGTCCATCGATGTCGGTGGTGTGTCATGATGGTTTCTAGGCCTGAAGGAAGAGAAGTTTAGAGAAGAGGAATTGCATAAAAGATAACTCTTTGAGGATGAAGATCGTGGATGCAAACTGTTTGAGTTGGTCCATGGGTCGCCACTCCATGACACAC